GAGAATGTGTCTTCTTCTTGTAACTGATCTACTACTTGATTGTTTTTCCACTCAGGTTACATTTGTTGAGGGTGGGGATTTTTCAGCAACGAAGGAGAAGACAGCTCACAGCAGTGAGGTCACCCTGGTGGAAAGGACAACGCAAATGGAGGGTGAAAGGACAATGACACTTCAAGGTGATCCATCTCTGTCCTCTGACCTTCCTTCTGCCCAGGATGACTTCGAACAGGTGCGTCAATAATTCTGTTCTAGTTGTCTGAACTGCAGGATTACAGGCCAACTGGTCAAATGTTGGAGTTTAAATTTTGATTGAGTCTTAGTAAAGAGTTCAAAGGTTAAGACTGTTTCCCCCCCTTTTAATGACCACAGGCCCTTAGTTATATAAGAGGTGTTAACAGGACAAAGCTGCCCCTCGTGGTAGAGACAGAGACAGTCAAAGATGATGGAACCGTGGTCAGGAGGTGTGTCAGTGCTGGAGTGGGTTTCTGACTTGGAGTGTGATCAACTTTGTGTTCTCAGTTTAAACTTCTTTTCCATAATGGCAGTGCTTTGGCTTTACTGGGGAACTAATACTACATTACTGTACTAATACACCGACACAATGTTAGAACCATTTTACTCCTGCTGCAACAACTGCATNGCATGAGTATCCAAAAAGTAATTTAAATAACTATAGTTACTTTACAATCACTGGTTCTCGGAAGTGAATAAGTGCTTTTGAGCATTTTTTTCATCTGATTCAGTTTAATGGTTTGATCTGGATGGTTTGGTGAGGATTTATTTGCCTTGGCTAGTTCAATTTCCTTTTCTTGTGTCCTTTTTTAACCACATAATGCACGTTTTCTAACATTTTACTCATCCCTAACCTGGGAATTCTCTCTCTACAACATACTGTATGTAACTCCTAATTTTTACCCGTGTCCAGGGCTCACATGCGTAAAGGCCATGCCATCAGACGGACAATGGTAAAAGAAGCGGGGAAGCCTAACCACGTTCTCCTTAAGAAAGTAGACAATCTCAGAAAAGGATCAAGAGCATGCGATCTTCAGAAACATCTCCACCGACTTTTCCATCATTACCATGAAGAAGGAGAGGAAACAGATGAGGGTGAACAGGCAGATGGAGAAGATGAAGCGTAGAGGAGTGAGTTGTACCTTCTTCATCCCCTTATTTGCTTGCTCTGTCAAAAAAACAAAGAAAGAAAACACCCAATCCTATGCATTAACTGCAGTCCCTGTGTATCATAGCAAATCCAAACTATCACAGTCTTCCTTCTGAGGTCCAGGAAGATGACATCTTGTTCACAATGTGTTTTCTTCCCTGACTAGTATTTGTTTAGCTGTTTATCATTTTCTTTCATGTTCTGATCCTGTTTTTGCTTTTTGTGACCAAAGAAAAACCTCTATCTATTTCCTTAATTTATTTGTTTTGTTTTTTTTTCTTTACTCAAATTATGGTTGTGCAACAACAAACCTGAACTGACACTCATTCAACTAATTCACACTAATTTAAAAACACAACCTGCAAAACACTGAGTAGGTGCTGAATCTGAAAAACAAGTATTTCACATTGTGCTTTCTCTGTTAACCGATTTTTAGATATTCCTAACTGAAAACAAATCACTTTAACTCACTGCACTGGGTGACTGTTGAAGTCCGGTGGTCATGATGTCACAAAGACTTTACAGACTGTATCAACACTGAATCTAATTGCTGCTGCTGTGTTTTGTGTAGGCTATATGTACTCTGTCTCTGCAATTATATAGTATCTATAATCTAGACATTACCATCATGTGTAGCCTAGGAATTATTAATCACTCATGTGAAGTAGAACAGGCATGACTAATCAACATCTGTCTTTACGATGCTAGCATTGAATGCTCAGTAGTTCTATGGACTGCCCTTCTGCCTCGCTGTCACTTTTGTCCTCGTCCTCGGTTTCCCCCTAAGTTCTTGATGCACTAAGAATGTGTGAGACGTACCGTAGCTTCCGTATGTTACTTCACGCATGTGTTCGACTAAATACTGCACTGACTGCAAAGGCTATTTCAGCTTATTTTAAATACAGATGGTCAAAGAAAGTGTTTGACCTTTTTTTAAAAAAAAAAAAATTTTTTGATTCCAACTTAGAATTTAGTGAAAAAATAAATAATGACATATTCTTTAATTTTGAAAGCCAACTTCAACCTTACTTTCACTAATTAGCTTCTGGTGAATTGGAATCAAAGTATAAATGTAAATGGTTTTTGTTTACACCCTTGTTGAACTTTATGGGCTGATCTCTTAAAAGGTCACCTGTTTCAAAAGGATGGTTGTATGGTGTTTGCTGCTGTGTGTGTGGGTGTGTGAGAGTGTGTGTGAGTGTGTAATTAGAGGTTTAGTGGAGAAAAATAAAACAGTATTTTACAAAAGTTGTATTTGCACATTAATCACAGGTGAGACAGATAACAATAAAACAGACCAATAGTTAGTGAGGCAGGTTGACGGCGTGAACACAGTTTAACATTCAGCACTCTCAGTATCACTAATGTATGTATCTATGACATGTAACCTATTTTCCTTTTTTCTCACTGTTTTCTTTGTAATTTAGAAAAATGTAAAATGCAAACTAGTGGAAGTTCACTGTGACAGGTATGCTTTTAACTCAAAGAATCAGCATCCCCTCTGTCTGACGACAACAGGTATATACATATAAAAATGCTTATAAATATCTACATGGGCATGTATTACTGTATCAGAATTTAAAAAGACAAAAACAAACTCAGCTGCAGTGTCTATGGCTTGTAGAGAATAAAAGTCTACAAAAATATGAATGTATTTTTGATTCGTTTGTATCTGAAAGTTTTTGCTGAATTTTAGAAACGTCAATGTTAAGGCAGTCCCCGAAATGCACTAAAATGCAAGATTAGGTCCTAAAACATGCTGCCAAGTGAATATTTTGTGTTTAAAAGTCCTAAAAGTATTTTATATGAATATTTCAAAAATCACCCAAAACATGCCTTACTATAGCCTTACCATCGTGAAAAAATCCATAAAAATAAAAAGTTTCTCATCAAATTAGGGCATATAGAGAACTTTTTTTAAATTTTTCTGTGTTAAATTTTTTGTAAAAATCTGTACATTTTGGTCAAATTGAATTAGTTTTAACAAATAAATTTGTGAAATTATTTTTCAAAATTGTATCTTTTCTTGCATATTTCTCATCAAGCTTTTCAGCTTTTAAGTTAACAGTATACTTAAGGACATAAACCTGCATTTTAGTGCATTTCGGGGACT